TGCAAAACTCAGCCAATCCATTGTCTTTAGTTGCATAAGCTACAAACAAAATGAATATGCTCCCTCCCAGGCTCAAAGCATAAGCTATAATTGGATTTTAATGAATGCACCCAACTTTATTTAACGGAAATATAGCAGTCAAAATGTTTGCTTTTCAACCATTTGCTTTAAAGAACCTCCAGTTTAAACATTTGTTCAAGATTACAATGACACTTTGATTGTCAATGTACGAATTGTTCCTTTTCAAGGCTTTCTCTAGCTTTACAATATCTCTGTTTAGAAGGGCCAACAAAGAAGTGCAAATTGCTCTAAGTGTGGACACACAGTACACCTGTCACAAATCCACCACAGAGAGCAATGAAAAAGAGAAAGAATTTGCATAGCAGCTTTTTCTAGTCCATATCCCTGAAAGTTTCTATTCCATATTCTGTACCTGTCTTCCATGATTCCATGGTTGGTCAATTAGGATCAGCTCCTATGCTTGGGGAGGGGTTCAGACATACAGAAAAAAATTCTCTTCTCCTTCTCACCTTTTAATAATTTAAACCATAGATTTGCAGCATGCAAATAAAATTTGTTGGTAGGAAAGGTAATTGGAACTCAAAGTGGCCAGTATCACTGGTAGAATATTTGGACTTAAAAATACATTTTTAAATGCTTCTGTGCAAATGGATCCCACCAGTCAAGTAAATTGTCACTGTAATATGAATGAGTCCTGTGACAACTGCATCTTGGGTTTTTCAAGAAGCACCAAATCTAGAACGGAGTCTACCAATGAAGCTCCAGCCAGTATCACAGAGTCATCTTGGTCCCTCTTTTCAACCTTAATAAACATTGACTTGTAATACTTCGGCTTTGAAGACCAGGAGGTGCCCCAAGAAGAAGTCCAGTTCATTTCCAGCTCCAGCCCATTTATCGTATGTCATTGGATTCTTTCCTCTGCCAAGTTCCCAAGAGCTGATCCTGGAAATGCAGATCCTTCTTCAAACTCAGCCTCCTAGAAAACCGCTGGAGCAAACTGCGAAATATGGATGTCCGAAAAATGATGAAGACCCAGGGATCCACAATGGAGTTGACAGAGAAAAAACGGAGGGCTGTAAGATCAGCTGCCTCATTGGCATCAGGGGCAAAGGCTCCAATGTAAGCTCGGATCTGTAAGAGGTAAGAGATAGAAAGAAAGAGTGACTTAGAGTTGATTGGGATGTTGCATAATGAAAAGTACTCCATAGGAATGCCTGGGGATCTTGTAGGGAACCACAGCAATGATCTCAGAGAAGAACAAATCCAAAAGGTGCTTTTTCACGAGGCAACTGGACTTCCTTGTTTTTCTTTGAAGACGTTTCGCTTCTCATCCAAGAAGTTTCTTCAGCTCTTCTTGGATGAGAAGTGAAACGTCTTCAAAGAAAAACAAGAAAGTCCAGTTGCCTTGTGAAAAAGCACCTTTGGGATAACTATGACCTGGATGACTGAGAATCTCCACAGTCCATAGAACTGAATATTCTTTACTGGCCAAGTGTGATTGGACACACAAGGAATTTGTCTCCGGTGCATAAGCTCTCAGTGTACATACAAGCAACAAAGTGATAAATCATAAATCATAAAATACAATCTTATGACTATAAATATAAGATATTCAGAGTCTGATAGCAAATTATAAATTAAGCCCAGGAAGGGAAGAAGGTATTAGAAAGAAAGTTAAAGTGACCCTACTTTGATTCTCTTTGGTGTAAGATGGAGGGAAGGAAAACATCATCAGGCTTTCAAGATTGTGATATTATAGCCTATATATCAATAAAGTCCTGGTATTTCCTTGTGGAATCCTAATTTCCTAATTTGGCTTACCTCAAAGGGCTGACATGTTTTCCACCTATATTTAGACTATCCTTGAGGCATATAGGAAGACAGGCTATTAAAGTACATGGAATAAGTCACTTTTGAAGTTTCATTTATTGTCACCCAATAAAAACTTGGGCTTTAGAAATCATGATGTAAGATTTTGCACACAATTTTTGCATTACTTATCAGCTTGCTTAAATTGCCAAAATCTTGTACAGGTAGTCCTTGATTTACAACCACAATTGAGCCCAAAATTTCTGTTGCTAAGTCAGAACAGTTAAGAGAGTTTTGCTCCTTTTTATGACTTTTCACTTAACAGTTATTAAGTGTATCACTGCAGTTGTTAAGTTAGTAACACGATTGTTAAGTGAATCTGGCTTCCCTATTGACTTTGCTTGTCAGAAGGTTGCAAAAGGTGATCACGTGACCCCGGGACACTGCAACAGTCATAAATGCATGCCGATTGCCAAGCATCTGACTTTTGATCACATGACTATAGGGATGCTACATCAGTCGTAAGTGTAAAAAATGATCATAAGTTACTTTTTCACTGCCATTTTAACTTTGAATTGTCATTAAACAAATGGTTTTAAATCAAGGACTACCTGTAATTAATCTGAAGTTCTCAATAACTATCCTGATTGATCAGAATAACAGATTTGGAAGGTACCTTGGAGGTCTTCTAGTCCAACCCCCTGCTCAGGTAGGAAACCCTATACCATTTCAGACAAATGGTATAGGGTTTCCTACCTCTTCTTAAAAACTTCCAGTGTTGGAGCATTCACCACTTCTGGAGGCAGGTTGTTCCACTGATTAATTGTTCTAACTGTCAGAAAATTTCTCCTTAGTTCTAGGTTGCTTCCCTCCTTGATTAGTTTCCATCCGTTGCTTCTTGTCCTGCCTTCAGGTGCTTTGGAGAATAGCTTGACTCCCTCTTCTTTGTGGCAGCCCCTGAGATATTAGAACACTACTATCATGTCACCCCTAGTCCTTCTCTTCATTAAACTCAATTCCAGCAACCATTCTTTATATGTTTTAGTCTCCAGTCCCCTAATCATCTTTGTTGCTCTTCTCTGTACTCTTTCTAGAGCCTCAACATCTTTTTTACATTGTGGTGACCAAAACTGGATGCAGTATTCCAAGTGTGGTCTTACCAAGGCATTGTAAAGTGGTATTAACACTTCACGTGATCTTGATTCTATCCCTCTGTTAATGCAGTCTAGCACTGTGTTGGCTGTTTTGGCAGCTGCAGCACACTGCTGGCCCATATTTAAGTGGTTGTACACTAGGACTCTGAGATCCTTCTCATAGTTACTACAGGTACCACCTATACTGTACTTATGCATTTGGTTTTTCTTGCCTAAATATAAAACCTTACTTTTTTCACCATTGAATTTCATTTTGTTAGATAGTGCCCAATGTTCAAGTCTGTCCAGATCCTTCTGTATCTTAAGCTTATCTGCTGGAGTGTTGCCTATTCCTGCCAGCTTGGTATCGTCTGCAAATTTGATGAGTTCACCATCAAAGACACTACCTTTAGCCACTCGTGCAAACTGTTTCTGGGGGATGTTAGTCTACTGCACGGGTGTCAAACGTGATTGTATCATGTGATGTATTGTGACGTATCGTGACGTATTGCAATGTTTTTTGCCTTTGTGGAGCCAGGGTGGGCGTGGCCTGTGCATGACACATCCAGCCCACGGGCCGTCAGTTTGACACCCCTTGTCTACTGCAATAGCTCTCAAACTTGGCAACTCCAAGATGTGTGGATATGAACTCCCACACATCTTAATGTTGCCAAATTTGAGAAATCCCCGTCTGGTGCAACAAAACCAGCACAATGGCTGCATTGTGCATTCAAGAAAGCAATGCTGTTGGTTACACGCACAGGCTGACCTGAGAAAATCTGTTATCTTTGTTCAGATAGAACTGAGTTCTTGACTAGATGGCTAATTCTAAGAGGCTGTATATTTTACTATACAGGTTAATTCATTTCTTGTTGAATCTTGCTTTTATAAGTAGTACATAAAATATAACAAGTACATAAAATAAGTAGTACATAAAATATAACAAGTACATAAAATATAACAAGATTATCATTTTATTTACAAACACATTTATGTAGTTAGGAGATGTTCATTCAACATTTAGAAGTTTATATAATTAATTGCTTTTCCTGGCATGTAGCTTGGGGCTGCTTAAAAGCAGAGAAGGCACTTTCTAGTTGTGTTGGGGGCACATTCCAGTAATCCTAAAAGTGCAAGTGAATAAAGAATTTTTGTTGTATTTGTTGTGGTTTGGATTTCTGGGAGTTATAACTGCAATAATTCGGGAAGACTCTGAGCCAAAAAGGGGTTGGAAAGTCCAAGCCCAGTAGATAGAAAAGCTATCAACTGTTAAGTCTCTGTGTCTTAAAAGCTCCCCCTTGTGGGAGAAAAAAAGAAAAAGATTATTATATTAGCATTCCACTGTAGAATAGACCTTCTAGATCAGTTTCTTAATCTTTGGGTGCCACAAACTCCCTTGAGAGTCTGATGACAGCGCTTTTTAGAAAAATGCATTTAAATGCATAAAATAAATACATGGATATATAGGTTACAAAGGCAAGCAGTTTTGCTCAAATTGTTATCAAAACATTAAAAATAAGATACATATAATATACAGAATTGAGGCCTTTGGACTATGGTGCTGGAGAAGACTCCTGCGAGTCCCCTAGACTGCAAGGCGTTCAAACCGGTCAGTCCTAGAGGAGATCAACCCTGACTGCTCTTTAGAAGGCCAGATCCTGAAGTTGAAACTCAAGTACTTTGGCCACCTAATGAGAAGGAAGGACTCACTGGAGAAGAGCCTAATGCTGGGAAAGATTGAGGGCAATAGAAGAAGGGGACGACAGAGAACGAGGTGGCTGCATGGAGTCACTGAAGCAGTAGGCGTGAGCTTAAATGGACTCCAGTAGATGGTAGAGGACAGGAAGGTCTGGAGGAACGTTGTCCATGGGGTCGTGATGGGTCGGACACGACTTCACAACTAACAACAATATACAGTAATAATAACAAGCTGTGAATTGGTTCACAGACCCCCTGAAATATGTCCATAAATCCCCAGTCAAGAACCCCTGCTTTACATCTCTGAACTGCAATTCCTATCTTCTTTCTGGAAGTATTAGCGTTGCTAATTGGGAACGAAGGGAGTTTCAGCCCAACACATCTGGAAAGTAGCAAAATTTGGGAAAGGCCAAATTTTACCCTGAATGTTTTCCATGAGATCCATAATTTCTCTGACTCAAAGAGTCTCTAGTGTAAAAAGTAAAATTACATTATTAGCATTTTTTTTAAAAAAAATCAATCTGTAATACTCTGCAACATCTTTGCGCATTTTGTTTAATATCCTTTTTTAGAATTACAGTAGTTTCAAATCCTTATTATTTATACCACAATAAGGGTTGGGGGGAGGGCCTTGGGAGAAGCAATGCCCGCCTGAGAAAAATATGAAATGATCAAATGCAGGTGATCAATAATTTTCATTCAGGATAGTAAAACTCATCAGTCCTGAGTTATTTCACTATTTGGAATTCACTTGCTTTATTGAACAATGGAGAAAAAATTCCATGGGCATACAGATAATCCTCAACTTACAACCACAATTGGGACTCTAATCTAATCTCAATTGTTGAGCAAAACTGTTGTTAAATGAGGCGCTCATGTGATGCTTCACTCAACTACTACAATCCTGGCCCTCCTGGTTGCAGTCAGTAAGCAATCTCCTGTGTTGTTAAGTGATGGAGTGAAAGAGATGCCTGCTGAATTCAGCTCCCCTCCGTGTGCGAAACGGAACTACTCCAGCAGGCTACAGGAATGGAACTCAGATCTTCAGGATCTTGGCTCCATTTCTGCATCTCACTAGAGGAGTTCCGTTCCCCTCCATAAGTGGAAGGGAACTGTTCCAGTGGGCAGCAGAAAATGCAGATCTTTGGGAAATGAGCTGTGTTTCTGAATCTTATTGGAGGAATTTGGCTCCCCTCCATGTGTGGAAAGAAATTGCTCTGGAAGGCTGTGGGAACGGAGCTCCAGCGGGGTGAGAGAATTGAGCTCAGATCCTTGGGATCTGAACTCTGTTTCTGCACACGCCAGAGGAGTTAGGCTTCCCTCCATGCATGCATGGAAGGGAACTGCTCTGGTAGGCTGTTTCTCCACCCCACTGAAGGAATTCAGCTTCAGCAGGCAGCTCTTTCAGCCAGTCTCCAGAGGCAAGGAGTCCTCTCAGCAAGCGGCAACTGCTTGTAATCTTCCTGCTGGCTTCCCCATTGACTTTCTGGG